ATCGAACATGATTCAAGTTTTCGACCTGCAAGCGAATATGATTTCATGAAGTCTCATTTGCTAAGAGGATATACATTAAGCGCATGTTTATTGAAGACACAGAAAAATGATGTAGTCATTTTTACACCCCAGTAAACAGTTTCGCAGATACCGAGACCTCCTGGCTTTTAATATCGAGCGCTGGTAACCCTCCCAAAGAAAATTAGTGCCCAAGGAATAATTCGCAGAAATTCATACAGATTGTCCACATTTACGCGCAAAATCTACAGCGACATCATTCAATTCAATACGATATATGTTGACACAATAATCATACTACATTTTTCTTAGGATCTTAGGCTCTTCTGCGGGTATGAAGTAATTATTGACTTATTCATTCATGTCTCAAGTACTGTGATACAACTTAAAGCCATTTAGTAGATAAACAAACGGCTAGACATAGGAACCAATTGGAATGGATAAAGAATCCTAAATTTCACGCAGTATATTGTAAAGTTGATCGTAAAGTTGCCGAAGCGCAGTAAACATACATTATCTATATTATCATCTGTTTCCTTTACCTCTTGACGCATCAAATACGAGCCAAATATGGTTCATTGACAACAAACTAATGTTTGGTTATTGCATTTTTACATTATGAGTGCTGTACTTAGAATTTCTAAATCACATTGAAGATATGTCTTCATTTACCAGAAAAAGATAAGGGAAACAATACACCAGTAATATGCATGGTGGCTCATTTGTTAAACTAATTTCGCCCAATTATTCTGAAATTACTCTAAGCTGTAATGAAAAGCCATCTTTTTTCTCAGGTTTTTGAATGAAATATTCGACAAAGTTATGCAAGAAAGAGACTTCCCAGCATGTGAGGGAACGCAGGTGAGATACGTTGAACATTTTGAAGCATAGCGAGAAGTGCAGGATTCCCTAACAGCAACAGCGCCGAATACGTGCGCACGCGCAGAAGCCAAAATAGTTCTTTGCACTAACCGTGAATCGTCCCTTTTTTTCGTTGCTACTCATCACATGACAGACTCGCTGTCCAGGAAGTTCCAATACGGAGTTCATTGCTTCAG